TTTATGGGCCTCCCCCTAGNTGGGTCAATTCATTTTAGGATGACCCATTTAAAGGATTGATAAGGTAGAATTCACAACTTGTTTTGAAGAAATTTCCCCGCAAGAGCTAATCGGCAAAAAAAAACGTGACGGCCGTTCGGTCATTGCGCGCCAAAACTTTAACCTTTGGAAATAGTAAATGAGTTAAAAATCATCATTTTTGCGCTCAATTATCTCATTGTTTTCTATACTAAAACAATTATTCACCTCAGTGTCGTTGGCTAGTGGTGGATATTCATGACCCCGTCTTTTTTTTGCCTTTTCCCCCACTGCGGTGCTTGGTCCCAGGTTATCCCTCCCCAGTTACACAATTTACTCTATTTTTCTCCCGCCTTCCCATCCCTGACATTTTATGGGCCTCCCCCTAGCTTCGCGAGATTCTGCGATACACGTATTTCTAGTTTAGAGATTATTTAGTCGTAGTAAAAAGCAATAGCTCTTAAAAAGAGAATGCTAAAACTTTGCATCAGAGGTCAAATCCCGGTCAAATCCTGTCAGATGCGAAGACCATAGGAAATCAATACGCGCGAAACTCATTTTCATGACCTCTGAATGTAAAGCAGCAGAAAAAAATATTTTAAAATGTCAAATTCAAGAATCCACAACAGCATAATTTACCTGCTTGAAAGTAAAAAATTGAGCAAATGGTATTTTCACTCGAGGGAAAAGTCGTACAGGCCTGCCGCCCGATGCCTTAGTTCACTCTGCAGTGACTTTCAATTACTCCAGAATAACATGTGAAAAGGTCAGTAACCAGAAACTCATATCGACCTGTAGTATAGTGCTTATTCGGTTGACAAGTGGATAAAACCGTAAAACAATGCTTGATACGTCCAAAATATAGGACATGTAGCCTCTACCTTCGTGGTTCTCTGCACGCAGAAGGCGGTTATTTTGCTACAGATGATTGCTTCGCAAAAAAATCCGGCGGCCCGTCTACCAGAAGTGCGACCCATCTGCACGTTTCACATAAAAAAGCTAGAAGACCTAGAATATCTCGAGAATGTCCAGTGGATTTTTCTAAGACCTGAAAATTTTTTTCACGAGAGATATTCCAAAGTGAAGATGATAATAGACACGTACATCAAAAGAAAAATCTCACTTTCGCTAACATTTCTAATCCATTGTTCATCACCTTATGCACAAGTCTTTCTACCGTTTCTTCTTCGTTGTTTTGTTACGAAAAGGCGAGCAAAGACTGCTGGAAAAACGCGAAACACAACAGATTTCCACGCCAATTCGAATCCGCTCGAGGATATTTCTAACCCGCCATGCTATGACGTCACGCTATTGTGTCGCATATTTCACAAAAGTGGAAAAGCTCTGGACTGGTAACTGTACGAGTGAAATCGGTTGTTTTTACAAATAAAGTCGGGAAGAATTCTCCATATTGTGTGGGCGTTTTTAATAAAACAATTATTCCACTCGTGCTTGTTGGATATAAGATGATAATAGCCAACTCAGCGCTACGCGCCTCGTTGGCTATATCTACCATCTATATCCAACGCCCACTCGTGGAATAGTATACAACTATCCCCCGAAAGGGGAGGTGAATGGTAAACAACTATCCCCTGAAGTGGAGGTGAATAGTGGTAGGTAGATATATATCTAGCACTGTTCACCAACCCTGATGGGGATAGTTGTTTTAGTATTTACCAAATCAGTTGGATAAAAATGAAAAACTGAAAGTAACCTTATGTAAAGTAAAAACGTCACTTATAGGAACTTTGTTTACAATTTACAAACATTTCGGTGATTTTGTCGAGTGCATTTTACTATTTTGTTGCAAATTCAGTATGAAAATAATTTTCTACCTACCAGTAATTATTTATAAACACCGACAAGCCAAAATTCGTCGCTGTCTTGGTATTTGTTTGTACGAATGCTTCATTTATCGCTCAAATTTCGTCTTCCGAAAATGTCTCGAAACGAGACGCCATCTTGGCTCTTGTTGCAAAACAGTGAATAGCCAAGGATATTCCGAGTTACGGGAGCCAATCAAAACGAGCGAAAATTGCTATTCACTGATTTGAAAAATACTAATGGTGGTGGGGTACATGCCGAGACTCGAACCGTTGAGGTATATATCTAGCGTTATGAACCGACCCTGAGGGCGATAGTTGATTTAGTATTTACCAAATCAGTTGGATAAAAATCAAAAAGCAACTTTTTGTAGATAAAAGACGTCACTTAGTTAAGAGTTTGTTTACGTTTCAATTGACATCGTTTCGGGGATCATTTTATTTTTTACTCAGTAAGAAATTTTTTTTTTCTACCGACCAGAAAACACCGACAAGCCAAATTTGGCCTCTTTCTTGGTATTTGTTGGTGCACCTGCTTCATTTACCGCCAAAATTTCATCTTTCGAAACTGTCGCGAAACGAGAAGCCATTTTGAATCCCATTCCAAAACATTGAATATCCGAGGATATTCCGAGTTACGGGAGCCAATCAAACCGCGCGAAAATTGCTATCCACTAATTTGGTGAATACTAATTGTTAATTAATGTTGTGCTCAGCGTAATAATCCTGCATCAATTTTTTCCTTTTTCTAGGTCATCTTATTCACAACTAGAGCCTACTCCTCCTGACAAGTGGGAAATTCTACCTGAGCAAATACAGTTTGAGGAGGAGCTGGGGAGAGGGGAGTTTGGTGTTGTTCACAAAGCAACATTTAGAAAGAGTGATGAGGCGGAGGTGTTAAACAATGCGGAGGCAGCACAGGTGGTGGCTGTCAAAGTTTTACATGGTAAGAAACAATGTTATTTCCATAAAGGGGAGACATAGCCAAAGTCTTTGATTTTGCAACTGCAGTCCTCTTCATACTAAGAACCCTTTTGGATTTTAACTGCCCTTTTCAAAAACAAGCGAACTCTGAAGTTTAAAAGCCGCCTTCACAATTACGTTTTTCGCTGCCGTCAATCATAACTACATCACAAGCAACGAACCTTGAAACACAGAAACAATCAAAACGGATCAAAATCCACCAATCACAAATCACAAACCATGACCTTTTGAGCTCGTTGAAGTAAACCTCTGTTTCGACGTGATATTAAAACAAATTACACCACCTAAAGGGATTGCTTTTGTAAGATAAATAGTTGGTATTATCGACGTTACGATCTTTGTAAGATATAAAGTTTATATTATCGACGTTAAGAAGCACTCCGTTACTTAAAATTTTCAAAGTAGGTTAAATTTCTCAATCATCTGATTCTGGCAGCTAAATTCTTTATCTTTAAGTGTAAATTGAATAATACCCATCCTTCTAATCCTTCTAAACAAATCTTCTAAGTCAAGATTAAGGCGCTTAATCAGGTAAAAAAGAAATAGCCAACAGGAGGAACAAACTAACTACACATTTAAGGAAAGGGAAGATATATTTTGCCATTTGTAAGCCATAGAAGGGGTGTTCCGCATATGCGTCTCACTTTATGTTTACATGTAAGTTTATGATTTATGAAAATTTGCATGTAACACAGATGTCTAAACAACTAATAATCTAAATAGCGTATATCGAAATTTGAAATTTGCTTGTATGCTTTGTGTTTTGTGTTTTAAGTAATTTGTAGTTTCTATTTCACCATTCAAGTGTGAAAAAAAAATTAACAAAACCTGTTAAGTTCCAAAAAAGTAGGTTTAAGCCGAAAAGCCCTAAACAAATGCATCTCTTACAAATTTACGTTTCCCAAAAACAAAAGAAACTATAAATTGAACCACAGTAGCCTTTGGCACATTATTCTTTTATTTTTTGCTATTATGCTAATGTTTAATGCTTAATGCTCAAAATGTTTACTAACTTATGCTCTTTTGGCCCTGCTAAAATGCTCGAAAGTTCCATCAATACATACACAATAATAGACACAAAAATTTCAGTAACTGGAATGTATGTGTTACTCTTTTGTCTGAGCCATCCATACTGGAATATCAAGCAAACAAAATGGCGGCTGCACACGCTGAACCACTGACCAGTGTGAATGCGGGCATTGACTAGACCCAGGCTCTCACTAGTTTTGGCTAGAAACCTCTGTAAATATATATGTTTGGCTGTTTTTCGGTGAATTTCATCACTTTAGACAAAATTTTCCTTTTTAATGATACAAAAATCTTGCTAAAATGCTGGCATTTAATGCCCCATGCTTTTGCCATGTTATTATGCTCAAAATAATGGTAGCATAATGTGCCAAAGCCTAACCTACAGATAGAATTAAAGCAAGTCCGGTTTTAAAAAAAGCTAGTCTCCCCGCAGACGTCCTTTGGAGTTCGAACGAACCCCAAAGGACGTCTGCGGGGAAGCTAAAAAAATGCAAGCTCTACTCAACATTACTACTCTTTCTGAAGGATCGGATACATATAAAGAGATTTTGGCTCCCCCTTTTGTAATCCATGTCGTCCAGTTTACTCCGCAAGTCGCTTGATAACGACGAAAAGGGAATTAAAATTATGAAACTGAGCTACGACATCACCAAGCTGACGGCTAGACCCAGTGTGTGAGCGGGGTCCAAGGGCATGATTTTTGACCCCTTTATGTGTGAAATTGGCTCTAAAAAAACGTGAAACAGGATAAGGTTTTGCTCTACCTTGTACCAGGTCTGTATTTATTTTTTTGTACTTTATTGTTGGTTTGTTATTCATTTATTTCGCGTTTTATGAACAGCAGTTTAGGTAATGAGGGAAATCACATGGTCACATCACACCACCACCCGATACTCAGAGACCTACCTAATGTCTGAATATTTCTCGATATTCTATTACACGGTAGAATACATCTGTATATACCCTTGTGCATTAGAGGATGAGTGGGAGGCGGTAAAAATGGACGAATATATTTTTCAAATGAAACATTTTGCACTGAATAATGCTGAAGAATAACAATAATAAAATCAATGTCATTTTATTCAATTATCTTTAGATAATCCATCTGAAGCACAGAAAGAAGAGTTCACGTTTGAGATTGAGCAGATGAAACTGTTGGGTTCACATAAGAACGTTGTATCCATGGTTGGATGCTGCACGCTTCAGGAGAACATGTTCCTGGTTATAGAATACGTTCCCAGTGGTGACCTGCTGACGTGGCTACGCCGCAGAAGAAAAAAGGTATAAAGGACATGAACAATTATACAATTAGTTTATAACGAAATTATCAAGAAACAGATATAGGGAGGCAATATTACGAATATATTTTGGTACTATCAGAACATTTTGTACAACTTATTTAAGCAACTGCAGTTACTTCAAAATTATAAAAGCATTTAATGATAATACTAACAATAATAATTATATTATTATTATTATTATTATAATTTTAAACGTGTTTTATCCTTGGGTGTAACAATGATAGGGGTGGTATTAAAATCCTCCTTACGAATCTTAGTCCATAAAACCTGGTGTGCCTTTAATTAGGGGCCGTAATCTAGTATGGAGATAACAACTTTTTTACTGTAGGATCGCTTGAAGCCATGCAGACGTAAAGTACGGTTTTTGTTACTTGCTTGATGTTTAGATCGAAGAACTTCAAGCTACCGAGAGATGTTATGCTGACAAAGAGGTTCTGAAAGATCAGGGAGAGACCAGAGATCATGTAGGCTTGTATATAAACTGTAGTCTAACTTTCCATACTAGCTCTGTCTTAAATGGTCTATCGAAGATAGAGCTACAATAGCTTTGGTTGACCTATTGTAGCTATCTAATCTACCCATCCGATTGTTGTTGAATGGTTTGCACGTAACGTAATCATACTTCAAAATAAAGAATTATTTATCCTTCTGAGTTTCAATTTAGTGAACTATTAGAGCAGCTGAACACGTGTGTTTCTACAAAGTTTCAGTTCGAAAGGGTTCTTCATTTTGTGACAGAATACGTTTGAATATTTTAATATATTGCGTGACGCGACAATAATGGGGCAGCAAAAGCTGTCACGTAACTGTAAGTTAAAGAGTGACATATCTTTTTTTAGATTTTTTTTTATCTGAACAGTCCTTGTTTTTTGAATAAGTATTAAGTTTAATGTTTATGAGCTGTCTTGAGATGAGTACTCGCTTTATGGCAATGTTTCTTTTAGTTTTCGGTCGCCATATCTGTGTTCCTTAGTGGGACGCCAACATGGCTGGCGTCTCAAAACAAACCTCTATAAATTTGGGTAACACATATCTCCGAATACCTCGAAAACAAAAAAACTGCACAGCCCTGAATCTTAGCAAGGGTTTTCGCATATCCCTTAGATTCCTGATCGAATTTATTCATTTTCACACAGGTCAGTAAACTTGCTAAGAAACTCATGCTTACCTCCATCGATCCATCGATGTTAAGTTTATCTTCGATAGTGCACGTTTAGGGTCGGTTCAGCTCCGAAAATATTCTCCAAACAGCAGATGTCGCCCTTCGAGTTGTCTTCTTGCTGTTCTTGCCATGTTTTTAGTTATTTTTTTTACCTAGTTCTTGCTCTTGAAACGAGTGAAATGTCCGCCATTTTTCAAGTTCACAACCAAAACAACTCAACCTTGTCCCCAGGTCTTCTCGGTTAACGGTGCATTAACCCGCAAGAACGCTGCATTTTTGACGTCATTTCCTCGCTAAACACAAAATTCTTCCACATTTGGTCATCGGTAACTGGTTATGGTGAATTAAATGTGTGCTTTTAGCCAATCAGAATCGGGGAAATATTTTGAATGAATAATAATCGATAAAGAGCGATTGATTAAATTGAAAATCGATAAAAATTAATAGGGGAAAAAGTTGTTGCTAATCGATAATTGTCGACTTTACTCGATTTTTATCGAAGTTTCCGATTTTAATCGGCCGCTTACTTAATTAGGTTAACTTTGGCGAAGATCGTTGTTTCCGAACATAAGTACATTATTTATGTGGCTTTGGACGGTTAAATTTGTAGCGAAATAGAGTACCGAAGTGTGACGTCATAGAAAATGAAATTTGTGAAATTATGGGATTTGTTAAGATATTCCGAAAGAACAACGTCCAAGACGCCTACTCGCCAAAAATTAGCAATTTGGGGCAGATTGTCTCTGAGATATTAACCCAGTTATACTCCGATGACTCCATACAAATCCCTCTAAATCTTACCTGGTTCCTAATCTTATGAACCAAGCCAAATTTAGAAGGATTTGTATGGAGTCGTCACAGCATGACTGGGCTAATATCTCAGAGACAATTTGCCCCGAATTGCTAAGTTTTGGCGAGTAGGTGTCTTGGACGTTGTTCTTTCAGAGTATCTTAACAAATCCCATAATTTCACAAATTTCATTTTTATGACGTCATCACTTCGGTACTCTATTTATTTCACAAATTTAACTCAATATTCTTACTAAACATTTTCGGCCAATCGACAGGATAAAAAAGAGTTATAAACAACTGTTTTGGCTTGCTTGCACTGGAAACTGTTCAAGTTGAACCCTACAATGTAGATATAGTTCAAGTGGTGAGGATAATGTTCAGTGCACAGTTTTTCAGCAAGACCCTTAAATTGTTTCCTCAAAAAGGATATTGGAAAGGATCATTTAAATCGTTCTGTAAATATGCAAAACAAAGTAGATAATGAACTCCGCAATTAAATGGAAAGAGAAGTAGCATGACCATAAAACATGATAAAAATGTGAGAGAAAATCATCATTTAAAACAGAAAACATCTGCGTGTGGCTAAAATAATTTTCTTTAAAATAATGCATTATTAGGTTTTGAACCTGAGAGGCAATCGATAATATCGTTAAAATAGTTAAAAACGATAGTGTTGACAATTGATTTTCTGATATCGGTTTTTATCGATTGCGCTAGTCAGGTGAATACGCAAAAGTTGTCTCTTTATTTAATGATCTGGGAACCGCGAAGCGCCTCTTTATGGAAGAATTAGTTAACTATAAAGACGTTTAGAAAAATCAGAGAGAGGTTTGGGGATCAAGTAGGCTTATCACAAGACTAAATTTGGTATTGAATATTTTACTGATCAGGCCTACTAAAGATCCAGCTGACCCTCACTGGTTTGTCGTTGTGGTTTTGCCTTCAGAAGTGTTTCTTATACCACAAAACATGATATAGGAAAAAGTTGTTGGTAATCGAGAATTATTGACTTTAATCGATTTTTATCGAAGTTGTCGATTTAATCGGCGCTTACTTAATTAGGTTAACTGCGTGACGCGGCATTTACATGGTAGCCTGCGATAAAGCTCTCCAGGGCGCTCTGGCGGCGGGGCGGGGAAAGGAAGGAGAGCTTGCAACTACGTCTCTGGAATTTGAATTCTACCTCCAATTCGCCTGTGGCTCCCCGTCGACTGAGCTGTCAGATTTCCAACAATCAGCGCGAAGCGGAAAAGAGCGCGATTGTAAACAAAAAACACGTGCCAAGGGTAATGGCGTCATTACTAATGTCATCTCCGCCAATCAGCATTTCGCATCGACTTATTCATTTTCCAGAGACGTAGCTACAAGATCTCCTTCCTTTTGCCGCCGAGCCGCCAGACCACCCCAGAGAGCTTGCTCGCAGGCTATTTACATGGCGCATGAGAGACCTCCCATTGGGGCTGAAAAAATGACTCTGTTGGGGGGATTTTGCTATCTGAATGGTCATTGTATTAATGTCAAAGTTAATGAGTTCCTCAGGGGATGAATTCACCCTTAAGTAGCACAACTCCTTGACACATGTTTCTGTTGGTTTCCGGCCGCCATGTTAGTGACCATCCTGATGGGCACCAACATTGCGTCTCCATATAAAGCTCTATAGATGTAGGTAAAAAAGTTCTCCGAATTTCTCGCACATGAAAAATTGTACCGACCTGAGTCTTGGCAAGGGCCTTTGTATATTTGCCTTCTTTCATTTCTCAGATTCTAGACTTTATCTATTACACGGGTTTGATTTTTATTTTTAATAGCGTGACAGTGAAAACCTGCAATAGCGTTACATTTTTTCTACATGTAAATGTCATCGCCATTTTCTTTAATAATTTAGAAAAGTTTGGCTGATGAGTATGAAGTTAAGGAGGATCAACATTCTATACACCAAGACCAAGAAGACATTGCAGTGTCTCCGCAACAAAGCAACAAAGATGCCGTTCTTGAAGTGATTCCATCGACTTCCACGGAAGTAGATGTAAGACGAAAACAAAAACACCATAATAATTACTTATTCACTAATAAAGAAGAATTTGCCTCTAGGGCGCCTTATTTTGCTTACGTTTCGCGTTAGAAGGACACAACATGATCTTGGTTTTCCTGTGCCACTAATGTGTTTCGTCGATAGTGTACCTTTTCTGCGCTGTCTTGGATTTACGTTTCAGCGCCTTGTTTTCATTCTCGTGAGCTATTTTCAGTTGCGGGCTTGTGACTTCCATCGTCTAGTAAAATGGTGTGTTTGTTGTTTTTAGTCAGTAGGACGTGTATCAGCAGGTGGCCGAGGCTTTCTGGGTAAACATCAAACTGTGGGCATGGATTTTCATCCTAGACTTGAAAACAGTACCCTGGACCCAAAGTAAATTTTATCTACCTCTAGACTGGTCACTTTGAAGTTACTTTTAATAGATAATACTTATATATTCTGTGGCTCTTGTCTGGCTCAAGCAAATTATGTTATTTTTATCTTTTTATCCGTTAGTTACTTATTTACTAACAAGGAAAGTAATTACTTGAAAGCTGTGCTGTTTCAAGCTAAACCAAAAATTTGATAGTTTTTTATCAATTTAATTAGGGTGAGGAATTCAAAGGGACTGACAAAGAACTTCTAACCAGGCCAACGACATCACTAGGAAAACCTCATGCTTCTGCAATGCCACTTTCAATTGAAAACCTAGGGGAGTCAGACGAGGATCCTTGTGACGAAGAGGAGAACTTTTCCCAACAAATGTTTTCACTTGCCTGGCAAATAGCTGAAGGAATGGTAATTATCTTTGTTTTCTGGATAATGTTGCTGGGATTCTGATTCTGAGTATAACTTGGAAAGAAGAATTCGAAAGTCAATATTTTATAAACATGAAATAGATGGGATAAATATATTGGCTGTTTTTCTAGATATGAGTACATTAAAATGGCTTATATGGAAAAAAATTTCTTTTTGGTCGACCCAGTTTTGGCTAAATTCGTTTCGTTATGCATCTAAACGTAAATATTTGGATCAGATTAGTGCCGATATTTACTTTTCATTTGTATTTTTTCATCTATACTTAACTGCTTAGTGTTCAGCAGGTGGCCAAGGCTTTCTGGGTAAACATCAAACTGTGGGCATGGATATTCATCCTAGACTTGAAAACAGTACCCTTGACCCAAAGTAAATTGTATCTAGCTCTCGACTGGTCACTTTGAAGTTACTTTTAATAAATAATACTTATATATTCTGTGGCTCTTGTCTGGCTCAAGCAATTTACCGTAGAATTCCGAAAATAAGCCCCTCCATGTATAAGCCCCTCCAAATATAAGCCCCCCAAAATCGTAACGCAAAAAACCCTCCGTTAAATCGCCCCTCCAAATATAAGCACCCCGGGGGGCTTGTACTTGGAATTTGCCCCCGAATACGAAGTAAAGCAAAGCAAAAATGGTAAATTTTCTTCCTACTACAAGCTAGCCCAATCGTTTTGAAACGCAAATTTCCCTCCGTGGATAAGCCCCTCCGAATATAAGCCCCTCCAAAAATAAGCCCCTCAAAAAGGGCCTTTGAAAAATATAAGCCCCAGGGCTTATTTTCGGAATTTTACGGTATGTTATTTTTATCTTTTATCCGTTAGTTACTTATTTACTAACAAGGAAAGTAATTACTTGAAAGCTGTGCTGTCTCAAGCTAAACCAAAAATTTGATAGTTTTTTATCAATTTAATTAGGATGAGGAATTCAAAGTGACTGACAAAGAACTTCTAACCAGGCCAACGACATCACCAGGAAAAACTCAAGCTTCTGCGATGCCACTTTCAACAGAAAACCTTGAGGAGTCAGGCGAGGATCCTTGTGACGTAGAGGAGAACTTTTCTACCAAACAACTGTTTTCATTTGCCTGGCAAATAGCTAAAGGAATGGTAATTATCTTGTTTTCTGGATAATGTTGCTGGGATTCTGATTCTAAGTATAACTTGGAAAGAAGAATTCAAAGTCAATATTTTATAAACATGAAATAGACGAGATAAATATATTGGCTGTTTTTCTAGATATGAGTACATTAAAATGGCTTATATGGAAAAAAATTTCTTTTTGGTCGACCCAGTTTTGGCTAAATTCGTTTCGTTATGCATCTAAACGTAAATATTTGGATCAGATCAGTGCCGATATTTACTTTTCATTTGTATTTTTTCATCTATACTTAACTACTTAGTGTTCCGCGTACCCCGTTATTATGTTTTGAGATCATTTTAATCGTTTTTTCGTTGCTTATTCGTTATTAGAATCATCTCGCCGAAAACAATCTTGTTCACAGAGACCTTGCTGCCCGTAATGTTCTTGTTGGCCATGACAACCAGATCAAAGTGTCAGACTTTGGGTTGATGAGACAAATCTATGAAGATGTGAGCAGCTCAGCGAAGTCCAGAAAACTTCCTGTAAAGTGGATGGCCCCTGAATCACTTTATCAAGGGGTTTACACGACCAAAAGTGATGTGTGAGTGATGAATTTTCCCGCTCCATTGACAAGGGAACTATTGAAACTCTTCTACTGAATCACTTCTCAGAATTGTAGTTGCCTTCAAAAATTACAGAAGCATATAACTCTGAAGCGCCTAAATCCCCTTATTTTTTATAACCATGTTAGGGTTTTTAGTCGTCCAATTAGAAGCACGGAAAATTGTTTGCCCAAATATGGAATCATTGTATTGAAGGCATCTCTGTCTAAATATATAGCTGCCAAAAACGGATTCTTCCAGTCCTTAACAGTTTTCCAATTACATCCAAAACTCAAGAGTACACGCATTTTTGGGCTCCTCCGTAGGCAGTAGACAATCTAAATGCCGTGAATCTGTACATATTTATAACCTCTTTGGTTTTCCTCATAGTTGGTCTTTTGGTGTTGTTCTTTGGGAAATGGCTACCTTGGGTGAGTGGACAGTAATTTTGTAGTTTATAGTTGTCATGTTAAATTTGAGGTGACTGACAAATCAAAAAAACATTTTTCATGGTCTATGACTCTTATCGACCGTAGAAATTATGTCAAAATGTTGAAAACTCATGCACGACCAGCAGGATACTGGTTTTACACTGAAAAGTTTTGAGCTCTCCAAGGGAATTAAGGGGACCGTGCCTTAACCCATCTTCCCCGTTTTGCCATGGTGGGATGTGGCTTAACTGTTACGATTGTTATCAAGGTTACTGCTACCAGGAAGGGCGAAAACAATGTTATATAATGTTTCATTTGCGGCAAGTTGGAATTTTCTTGTTTGATCTGGGCTCTGTTTTAATTGATTAAGTGCTGTGAGACAAGTACATCTACTAGATGATAACCGTACATGACAATACATATTTTAATCTGTCAAATTTAAAAATTTGCGAGCATTTGATGACTGGATTCGAGAAGCCTTATTGTTAATCACCCTGTCTTCTTTCATTACACATTTAACTGCATTGGCTGTATATCAGACCTCCATTCAATCAACCATTTTTGCAAAATGGCCTTATAGAGTTTATATGAGGAGAATTGACAATCGACTAAGGCATCTTTAATAGAAATGTATCTAACGGAAAATTGCATGTATTCAGTTGCTGATATGTAATCATTTGTATTCTTTCTCGCAATCGTCAGGAGGCGTACCATACCCCACGCTGACCAACTCAGAGTTGTATCGACTGCTCGGTACTGGTTATCGCATGGAAAGGCCTGACATGTGCTCCGATGACGTGTACGTTTCTTGATTAGAGTGGTCTTAGATTTAACAAAAAGATTCGATTTTTCTGTGCGTCTGCTCTGTTACATTTCACACCGAACGGTGCAGCATACGAATTCGTCAAATATTTTAACGCCTTCTTTGATCATATTAAACTGAATGACCAGACGGACGGCAATGGAAAACTTTTGATGGGATCCTCACTCTTTGAACAAGGAAACCCTCCATTAGCTTTATGGTCACTAAAGGCATCATTAGTAGTGATAAGTTGATCTCTTTCCTGGGGTCGGGGGGAGTACTCCCTGTACTGGGGAGGCACCCCCCAAAAGGGGTACTACTCTCAGTCTTCTGGTGTAGGAATTTTGCTAGTCTAAGTATATGAAAGGGTAGGGAAATCAACATTTCGGTCTGTAAAATGACATAAGAGGACCAGATAAGATTTTTTGGCTGTAAAAAAGTCGAGAAAATTTTCTAGTTTGTTATTTGTTCATATTTAAAAGGAAGTGCATTTTTCAGCAATTAAAAGGGATAAAGTTAAAGTTCTTTTCTGTCAAAAATGATACTCAAAAGGATAAGGGGTTGGACCGCTGGGCAGAGCTTTACATAATAATGGCTGAATGAAGGAATGGGGAATCACGTGATAACCCAAACGTTCCAAGAGCCCATTTTAATGGGCTTTACGTTGAAGCTTCACCCAAAGGAGTACCTTTTTAGGCCACATGTATATGGAAAGGTAGGAATTTCACGAGCTAAAATGTTTGAAATGGTAGGAAATTTTCTAACTTCGGTAATTTACATCAAAAGATATGTTAAACAGATGTACCTGTATTGTATGCTTAATGTTAAGGGCTTAATGGCTTGAAAAGTGAAGAAGTCGTACCATTTTTCAGGGCAGGCAGGAAAGGAATGTATACGAAAGAGGTATCTATTCTTTCAAAAATGCTGTATAAAAAGGATTGGGCCTCACTGTGGAGCCTTCCTGTAAACTCATGAAGCTAAGAAGCCTATATATCCGGCTAAAAAAATTTCCTTCATTCCAATAGACCTCTTTCGCCTGAATGTTTTGTTTTCCCAATACAGGTCATGTCTAACGGTCAAATTCCCCTGGGACCTCTTTTGGCAAACCAAAACATACAAGCTATAAAGAGGTCTTTTGACACTGCCTAATAATTGACTGGAGCTCTAGTAAGCATTGAATGGTTCTTTTTTTTCTCCATTCATAACAGATATGAGCTGATTACTGACTGTTGGAATGAAGACCCTTACATTCGTCCCAGTTTCTACCGTTTGATCGAAAAACTGGAGGCGATAATGGAAAGGGATGCACCATATTTGAATGTAAACAAACACAATGAATATCATCCGTATTACAACATGCCACCTGAAGCTAGTTCTGATTAATATGGAGAAGAAGGAGCATCCCCAATAATCGGACAGTTTAAGACGGAACGAGTATAAACAGTAAATGTATACTTATTGACTTACATACTAAGCTAAGAAAATACTGAAAGAATTAAAACAAACATAAAAAGAGCTTTAAGCATTAAAAAAAAAAAAGGTGTAACAGTAAGGCCCTCCAGATCTAATCAGGAGCCCATCATCCAGGAATGTTAATCTCCCTTATAGCGTGTTAAGATTTTTACTAGGCTAGTATAGACTAATCTTTCACACAGAAAAAAAAAGCTGGACTGAGTAGGATTTCCAGCAATCAGCGTATGCGATCAAAGAAGTATAGAGCTATTAACGTAAAGCTATGAACCGTGATTAAGGTTTTAACTGAATGACGAGCCTTAAAAGTTAGCCACTAACTGAGAAGATAGCTGAAGATCAACCGTTATGTTGGATTTCACCGAAGTTGTTTTTAGTGCAAGGCGAATTTTTCGTAAGCGATTGTATTTATTACTGTCAGTAGTTTAAATTATAAACGGAGAGGTTTAAATAAGAATCTAGGGATTACATATTTAACTATTGTTTTAATACTTTGCAAAATGCTTATTAGATATAGACTGGCTGAAAAACATGTAACACTATCAGTATTATTAAAATAACATTGTTCCGCACTAGACTTGGTTTATACTTTGGCATTTCTCATTTCAAATTAGTAATCATGTAAATGATTTGACGAATGAATGACTGCATGACTTGATAAGTCATTAACGTCGCGGTACTCCTTTGTTTGTCCATCAGTTTAAGCCATGGTGCCTCAGGGTCATTTAAAAAAAAAACAACAACAACAACAATAAAAACAAACCTTCCTTTGTCATAGTTATTTCTCAGACTCGTACCCAACGCTATTTATGTGTTTTGGGGATGAGAGAAGATTGGGGGTTAGGTTAAGGCGCGCGCGGGGTCTCATGGGAAGGGGCGAAGAAAAAATAGCGGCGCTATTTTTCCTTTGTGCGAAGTGCTAAAGTGCTGGTCCCAGTTGTTCAAAACGTGGATAAAGCTATCCACTGGTTATAAATCTCTATCTAGTGGATAACGCAATCAGTTTCCCTATACTTATCCACTGGATAGTGATTTATCCGGTGGATAGCGCTATCCATCGTTTGAAGAAGCGCGGATTAAAAATTAACCCCGGATTAGCACTAATCGGCCTTCGAAGAACTTGGCCCAGAAAATTAGTGACGGTTGTTTCTATTGAAGAAGATTAAGAGTCCTTTTTCAATTGTCGTTGCTTGTCAGTACGTCCTCCATAACACGTGGAATTAGCATGAATTTCTTTGAAAAGGTGGTTGACTGTCAATGTCTATTACGTCAACTTTATTCGCAACGCAATGAAAATTGTCAACCAAGGTCCCAGGCCTCCAGCTCCCAAACTTGGGTATCCTTCCACTCTTGAAGTTAAGACTGAGTAAAACTGTGTCGGTGGATGGAGGTCGTACCATATTAGACGAAGACTGTGGAAGCTCTCTTTTGACAGGTTTAGATTTGGCCAGAAAAAAGCTCGGTTGTTCATTTTCAGGGATGGATGGACTGGACATTGCAGAGGATATACGGGATAACGTCGTGGAAACAAGTGTTGGATCCGGCAGCCTAGAAGTTACAGGTCAGTTTCTTAGGTTGTACAATTTTTGAAAGTGACTCTCTGACAAGAACATCTAAGAACCTCGCTCCCATGGCTTTTACCTTAGAAAATAGGAGACGGAGAGAGAAGGGAAGGAAACAAGGCCTGGGGAGAGGTTGGAACACCCAATACAATCTAGCAAGTGAACGCTCCTCAGTAGTGGAGGAGGAATGTTTTACTCCTTTTCTTTGTGGATTTAATTAACTTTTTGAGTGGTATAAATTAACGCAGATGACGTCATGCATCTCATTAAGATAGGATGATGTCATACTTTAAATTAATGCCGATGACGTTACGCATGCTATTAAGATAGGATGATGTCATTGTTTATTTTTAGCTGGCTGACGTCATGCATGTCATATAGATAGGATGATGTCATAGTTTATTTGTAGCTGGCAAGGAGCAAGTGACGTCAGAATTTCCTACAGTTGACGTCATCAAAAAATGTTGAGATCATAATCTATAAACAGAAAAGTGATTTTTATATAATTAGCTATTTGCTATAGTCTTATGATTAGATATTGTTTGCTATAGTCTTCTGATTGGATATTGTAGAAACTGCTATGTGTTCAAAATAAAAGCGGGCAAATTTTGAACGTGTTATCTTTGCAGATTATACTAAATGAAAAATCTTTAATCATTAAATTATTTTCACTAAAAATCGGCTATAAACAAAACCAAGACACGGAGGTTAACTGAACAATCTTTACTTCAAAAGAAGGGAAAAGGAGGTTAAGCGAATGCGCAATCGTTCTCATTTTTCAGGCAAAACATGAAAACGAGGTCGAAGCTCAGCGAAGCGAAAAACTGCCTATCAAGCAAAAATGTCAATCTTTGTTTACTTGACTCTGTAGAAAGTATTACACAGGGTATGAAAATTCTATAGAAAACAACAGGTGGTTCTAAAGTAAACCCTAACTGTTTTGGTTCTTAAATCAACTCCATTCTTGTTCCTAACGAGTGGAAAGCCTATTTATAAAAAATAGGAATAAGAGGTTCGGATCGCCTAGCAACACATGTCTTCTTGTTTAGCGCTAAAAATCGGATATATAAACAAAACACATACACACATACACAGAGTGGAGCTGAAAACTCTCTATTTCAATTTTGACTCACCATTACGAAAGCGTTTTCTCCGTTCTATCTCGAGGAAACGACTAACTATTGAAATCTCAGCGCTTGAGGAGCTTATGGTCGCCGTTAGTCAGTTAATTATACGGGCTAACAAGCCCAAAGTTGAATACAAATTAGTTCATCTCTACAGCTAGACCCAAAGGAGCACCTTGACTTATTATTGTAAAAGCACAAACAATTAATAACTTAACAAGGATCAATTTAAACACGCGACAAATAAATTGACAAGACACGAGATACAGTTTTAAAAACTTTATTGAAAACCAGTGACAAAAAGAGTCAAACAAACAGCGATTTGGAAGAGATGGAAATTAATCATCTTCTTCGCCCATGGAGTACTTGTAAGGTCTGACTCGAAATTTCTTATGCTGAGTTCGTTTCCTCTGTTTGCCATGAGCATTATAATCATCCAAATAATTTACAAATTGAATCCGACGCCTTTTGCGCTTCGGGCCTTGTGATGGGGTTTCTACTGTGGGAGGAGGGGTCAGGAAAGCAGGTGGGGTGGAGCTTTCGTTTTCAAGTTTTTGTAAGATAGCCGCTTGTGTTAATTTAGGTGTTACGTTGAAGGGGTTAATGGGAGTGGAGAATGCTGCCGTTGCTGTCGAAGAATCATGTGTGCTTGATGTTAAGTCTGGAACAGTGCTTTCTTCCTTACGGGTTCTTGTATTTAATTGTTCTTTAAAAGCCAGGTATCTGTTTTGCAACTGAGAGTATCTCTTAGCTTTTTCATCGTCCCGAAGATCGTTTCGAGAAAGCAAGTAATCCATGTTACCCTGTATTTCTTGCATAGCTGGAAGAAGTGGGACAGGTGAAAGATTTTGCTGCTTTAGATATTTTAAAAGCTCTTGAGGAATATTTTCTTGAAACCCTGCTTGGTTAAAACCTTCTTCACTGGGCAGGACGTTTGTTCGCAGTCGACAATTATCTTGGGTAGTAGTTTTCAGATCAATCAGCAGATAACCAAAAGGTCTTTTTACAGCCCCCTCGTACTGATTTAAAAGAAGTCAGTTTGCCCGGGATACATTTGCTTGGCAAGAGTCAAGATTTGCAATTTGTCTCGTGGGTTCTTGAATAACACCAAATAATGGCTGTTTAGGCTTATGCTGCGACTACCTTTCCCCTGGTGAAATAGATTCTGCACGATATAAATCACGCTTAGATTGCGATGATGAGAACCACGAGTAAAGAGGTTCACAATTCGCTTGTCTTTACTGGCGTCAATCATTTGATCATCAAACACGATTAAATTCCGTTTGCTCACATCAAAATAGGAATCCTGCTCCAAAGCCGTGGGAATTCCCTTGACGAATTCAATGTGTGGCATGGCAACTAGCATTTCTGTATACGCAGGCTGCCATTGTGAATAACACCAAACAATCCTCTCCGGGAGAGGGTAAATTGTCTCTGAAGCTTGTTGCAATAGAGATCGAACCCAGGCGGTTTTCCTGAGCCAGTCATTCCGGCAATCATGGAGGTAAAAGGATGCTCGAATCGAAACCGCTGACATTTCTTTGAAAACGGAACTGTTTGAAATGGTGTGAGACCAACATTGTTGCTAAATGATTTTTCGCAAACGGAACAGAACCAACTCATGTCAGCTCCTCAGGAGCAGAATGTTGACTGAGAAAATGCTAGCATAATGCGCATTGATATAGTTTTGAAGGCTATAAAATTCAATAGTTTTCAATCCACCACCACCACTTTCCTATTGTGTTCCTCTATCACCGCCACCACCACATTTCTATTGCTTTCCCTCCACCACCCCCACCACCACCACCGCCACCACATTTTTATTGTTTTCCCTCCACCACCACCACCGCCACCACATTTCTATTGTTTCCCCTCTACCACCACCACCACCGCTACCACATTTCTATTGTTTTCCCTCCACCGCCACCACCGCTACCACATTTCTATTGTTTTCCCTCCACCGCCACCACATTTCCATTGTTTTTCTCCACGACAGTCAATAAAAGACTGCAAACTACAATGATAAGTTCAGTTTGTCGCAATGTCTCGAGTTGTCAAGAAGAATCGTGGTTTTCTTCAACTCTTAGCTAATTGTCCAGCTCAGCAGCGACAGTCTCTTTTACGGACAGCCAGTCCACAACAACTACATGCATTAGTCCAAGTCTTATACAATATACTTAAGGAATACATTCTTATCCCCGAAGAAAATAAGCGGAACTTGTTGCCATATAAGGATGCTCTAGTAAACCTAGCAGAAACAAATGTCCCTTACA